TCTGCACTGAGAAAATCTGAAAATAATTTCATATATATGAATATTTTTAATTGTCATTCTCACCTAAGGTGACATACAGAGTATTCCAAACTAAAATGGTATTTTAAAAAATTTAAATGCATAAAAAATACATTATGCATGCATTCAAGTCGCAATAGCCCATTTTCTCAAATTTTGACCTACAAAACCTCTGTATGTTTTAAAACTACCTGCAGACCAAACAAGCAATTCTAATAAAGACATAATTATTTAAATTATCTTGATTGAAATCACTTCTCCCCTTGCTATTTGCTTCTAAAAGGTCAAAAGCATGAAGCAGCAATGAAAAAGCAGAAACTTCTTTTTTTACCTCATCAGAAAGATATGATGGCAGTAAGAGTTCCAGTCACTGAATCTATCTTCTCCTGCAAACCAAAACTTCTCTCCTGAAGTATCCTATTTATGTTGCAAAATCTTGGCATGGGACAAAAGTGTTCTTTGAGTTAACTCTAATTGCTCCAATTAAAATTTCTAAATCCTCCTCTGAGCCTGGAGCAGAAAAGGGTAAGAATTTTGACACACCCATGGAAAAATAATTTGTTTGCACAACTCGTCACAGCTCATTAAAATCCAGTCAGACAAGGGAAGCAGCCTCTCTGTGCTGGGCACAGCTCAGCAGGGCTCTGATGGGACACGTGGATGCCACATCCCTCCCTTCTCACTGAGCTCCCTGCTGCTGCTCTCTGGCCACCACAGGATGGAGTTTGGCTGATCTAAGCCTAAACACACCTGTGAGATAGGCAGGTGTGCTCTGCCAGACCCCTGCCCATGGGAGACAGAGCAGGGAGCGCCCCCAGCCACTGAGTGCTGATTCCGAGGATGGAGTGGACAGCTTCACTCCAAACTGCCACAAAGAGGGGTCAGTCCTTGCAATAAAGCCATCCGAGGGAACTGTGATGCAGTTCACAAACAGCACTTTGTGGGGTTGCCATTTCAGCAAGCACTCAAAAAAGGGAAGAAATAATAGCTTTTTCTGCCACAGCCTCTTTCCTTAAGCTCATTGTGGGTAAGTGCCCTCATGAACCACCCATTTCAGTGCCTGTTTTACATACAAAACCTCCTTTATTTGTTAAGCACTTCATCCCTAACTCCTTCATTCAGTTTTGTACTAAGCTGGAATAAAAATCCATCTTGTTTGAATGGGTCCAATTACTAAAAAAAAATAAAAAATAAATTCAAGTCAAAACTGTAATTTACTACTAAACAGTTTCTGGAAACAAAGTATAAAGCTCCTGTCAGTTCTTCCCTCATTCCACACTAGTGTAACATGCAAGCCTTGCTGCCAGAAGTGCCTTCTGAAGAAAAAAACCTTCAGAATAAACAGTCTTCTTTCTGTTTCTAAATAAATGGTTGTAGTGAGCCATCCATACTTACAGTCCCTGTTGGACTGTCCTTACAAATCTGAGTCTGCCCACAGTACTCCAAGTGTTTGGAACACCAGGTGTGGATCACATCATCTTTTGCTCTGATATCTGGGCTATTAATCTGTGTTACTGAGAAAAATCCATTTCTAACCAGTGCATCTAGCACTTTGGGGACTGGGGAGCAGGGAGGCTGTCACAGCAAGAACACAGCAAGCTTGGTTATCTTTGGAGCTATGGACCACCACTGATAATTCTGCAACAGCCAAGTCTGGAGCACAGAGGCAGCTTGGGAGCTATTCTGGAAGCTGTAGTCCAGCTGCTGGATTTCATCAAGTATTTCTTCCTGGTATGAAAATAATTTTGCTTTTGAAAGTTAAGTCTAGAATACCAACAACAATAATTGTCACAAAGACTGAAGAAGGGGTATTCAAAATAGCAGCTATCTTTTAATAAGCTATGAAGCTTAAGCTTGTTTTCCAGGGTAGAGGAATGTGATGCAGCCACACTGCTATCTGCTGAAGTCAGGGCATTCTGATGTTCAATGAGATATTTAATTATTTGTGTTAATGAGAGAATGCCCTCTGTATCAGTTGCTGAATACATCCTATGCTGGATATAGTAACTTTCCCATGGACTTAGATGAATAATTCCTTGAGATCCTCAGAAGTCAGGGCAATTGGGAAAAGCCCAAGAGAGTCAAATTGCTTATGGAGATACCTCTCAGCAGCTGCTGGAGAATCCATTTTATAATCTGGATTTGGGAGACTGAGACAGTGCCCTGGGAGGTGATCAAAAATATCTGATGTCTTTTATATGAGGAACAATTAAGCAGCACTGGATTTTTCAGACTAGAAAAAGGAGTAAGTTGGAATGGATATAACCACCTAAAATGGTGAGTGGCACACAGTTATAATCTTATCAGAACCACAACTCTGACCTCTCTTAGAATTTATTTTCCTTGGGAAATTCATGCGATCTTTAGTACAATAACAGCAATAGCAAAAGCTGAAGAAATCAATTAATTCTCAAGGTATAATTTTCAAGGTGAGAATGCTGGCCACTGTAACTGCACTGCCTGCCTGCAAAACTGTCTGATGACCTTGAGTCTCAACATCATACTTGGAATTACATGTAGGTTTCAAAACCAGAAAATGAGGGATACCTTTTTGCTTCAAGATGTAGATTTTTAATATTATTTCCAGCAAACATTCTATCAGAAATCTAACAGCCTTGCAGAGTCAGTACTAGTGGATTCTGACATCACAGAACTTCTTTTGCTAAGATGGTCAAGACTGCTATTAAAATTTTCTGCTCTGTTAGGAAATGAAATATAAACTGACCTTCCACACTCTTAAGAATCCCTTTGAGATACTAAAGCTTCCTTTACCAGCAGTATTTAAAGAAGAGTTTAGCATGCCTTTCCAGATACTGGAATGCTAGATATAGAACCATCAAGAAAGTAGATTCATTTCTTCAAAGCAGCTCAAAAATTCCACCATTAGTATCTGGGGCAGCAAAGAGCTAAAATAACCTACAACTATGGAAATACAGATGGACATTAACAAAAGCTCAGCTGAGGAGGGTGATGCAGACACACACAGCAGGTGACACACCGAAGAGAGACAATGTCCACGTGTGAAACATGGACAGCAGCTGTGGAGCACATCCTGCAGAGCACCTGGGTGCTCAGGCAGTCACATGCAGCCAGCTGCAAGTTCCCCTGATTTTCTCCAGCCTGCCAGAGCCCCAGGCATGACACTTGAGTTTGATGCAGGTAAGTCTGAGGTCACTTAGCTCAGCCTTGCGCAGAGCTCAGGGACACACAGGTACAAACACAACCATTCCTGTTGCCACCCAGTTCCCTAAGGAGATAACATGGCACCACGTTTTTGAGGCTACAAGGGTGCTCAGCTTCACAGCTGGATCCCAAATCACATCCATGGTTTGAGCTACAAATTACATCATACCCAGCTTACACTTCTCAATGAATCGGGGCCGGGTAAGCAGCAAGGAGTAATTAATTTTAAAACATTTGATAAATCACATTTACCCTTTCAAGTCAGTAGGTCATCTCTATCTCCTCTAGGAAGTCTTTTACCATAAAGACTAGCATTTAAATGACTGATGATTTCCAAATATGTATGAATGGAACAAGAATTCTTATCTTGCAACATCTACTCATCTGCAGCAGGAACGAACGCAACCGCATTCCTCAAAAATTGCACAGCTCCTGCCAGCTTTTCATTTATGTTGCTGGACTTAGAGCAGAAACAAATGGAAGCCATTTGAGGCTCTTCCTGAAATAGTTACAAGAATTGGAACAGAATTATCATTGGTTGCTAAATAAAGGAAAAACTGTAGTGCAGAAACTCTGGAATAATATTATCTTCACTCCAGACACTCAAGAGATTACTGCTCTAAAAAAATAAATCTGGCCTAAATCTGGCTCAGAAATGCAATGGGCTCCAGCTTTCTTATATAAATGCTTGCAAGAGCACAAGCACTATGGGTCAGGCCCTGGAAACATATGAATAAGAGGTATTAAGAGATATTTATGTGCTTCATACACTCATCTCAAAAAACTCTTCCAGGCCTTGCTTTCTTGACTTCTTAGAGAGGGGCCTTAAATCTTGTATACCCACAGAGCTTCCCAAAAAATGCTGAACCATGAGGTAGATACCAATGTGCAGAACAGGTCATTAGATTCATACACATGGTACACATGGATAGCTATCAATTCATGCCTTCAGTCGACAGATGTAAAATAATCTTTACACAGAATCTTAGCACTAGTGAATCCATGCATACACATATTTATCTGTGCATCTGCACAATCCATGCTAAATTACCAGCCTTTTAGAAGTTGATATTCAATTACTTTGGGAGGCTGGTTGACAACAGGAAAATGCATATAATAATATCAAAAAACGTAATGACACTGGCTACACAATAACTCATTTTCTTTCATTTATTTTCCTTTGTTTTACTAAAATATTTGTATTCTATATTGACTATATTTTGTTATAATTAGTTTAAAATTATTAATAGTGGAGAATGTCTGCCACTGTACTCTTTTAAGGTACACTACAAACATAACAATAGTTTTTCTCTTTTCAGAAGGATGGTGAGAAGGTGTTACTATGTGTCTCTTTAAGAAATCTCTTTTTTGGTTGTGCATCCAGGGCAGCTAATAGTTTTATCAAATACCCTGCACAGCAAGATGACTGTTTCCATGGAAACTGTTGAGCAATCATCCATTACTCTTGCAAAGATTTCTCTCTCTGCTCTCACCTAAATACAGGTAGCTACTTTCTCTCTAACAACAAAGGAACAGAAGAATTCATAATTTATTTTTCCAGGCTTTAGGACAATTCATCTCCAGAGTTGCCTATGGAGCCTACAGGAAAAGTGGGGCCCACAGCACAAAACCCCAAAAGGTACATGAAAGGAAGCCCTAAAGAAATTTTAAAATGTGCACAAATCGTATCTGATATAAAATACACCTTATAGAGAGGATGGAAGATTCTTTCCTTACAACTGTGAAATGGATAGGAGACAGAGAGGAGTTTAAGAGTGGAGATGAGTTTGATCACTCACCTCTCTCAGCATGTTGTTTTCTTTTTCCTTCTGTTCAAGAAGGCTTTCCAAGTGGTGCACGTGCATCTCCGCCTCAGCCAACCGCCGTGTCCGCTCGTGGTCTTCCTCGGTGGCTTTTGCTGACAGACCTTTACTCTGCAGCATCTCCAGCAGCTTTTTGATGGACTCATCACGTGCATTCAAGGTCTGTTTCTGTGTCTCAATACGCAGTTCCATCTCCTCCAAGGTTTTCCGCAGCAGGAACAGCTCCTTGGCCTGGCGCTCGTGCTCCGCGTGCAGCCGCTGGAAGTTCTCCTCTGTCAGCTCTGCCACCAAGGGCTCGCTGGTCCTGCTGCTGCTGTCCTGCTGGAACAACTGGTTCAGGTCCCTCTGGATCCTCAGCTCATCTTGGAGAGCCTGGATAGTCATCTGCATATGCTGAAAGAACAAACAAATGAAATCAGAGGATTCCCTCCACTGGAGAAATAAAGAAAACAGTATGAGCCACATCAGACCTCCTGAACCACCAACCAAGTGGAAACCACAATGCCAAACCAACCACCACCAAACCACCACAATGAGGTTTTTAAAGCAGAATTGAGGTGGAACTGGGTTATACTACAGAAAGTTCAAGTTCCTCCTTCTGTGTCTGGTAGAGGTTGCTTAACATTTAGAAGACTCTTAGAAGACTTAGAAGACTCTTGCTTGAGTGACTCTTCCACTTGCATCAAGTTGAGAGAGTGACTGTTTCAAACAGGATAATGTCAGCAGCTTTCAGCAACTTGTGTCAGTACCCTTCCAAATGTTCACCTCCCCTATAGAACAATTTTGCAGAAGAAGACCCAGAATTACTATAGAATTACCATCTTGGTGAAGCAGAGGGACACAGTGCTATTAGAATTTACATATCACCCACAAAACCTAATCACCTATGAAGGCTCCTAAGGTCTTCCTCAGTAACTCTACACTTAGCACAGATTTCCCATTTGACTCAGAGAAGAAACTTCAGCTTGTAATGAAGAAACACAACTATAGAAAACTGGATAAATGCTACATGGGGAAAAGGGCCACATAATAAAATGTAATGCACGAGGATTTTAGCACAGAAGTTACCACCTCACAAATAGGAATATGAAGTCAATCAAATGATCAGCAGTAATTTGTTGTTGTACAAGACAATAAATCCTGTCTCAATGACTGAATACAGTGGGTTAATGTAATGGACAATACAGGAGAAGCACAGTTTGCCCACAAAAATGTCCTCGTTTATATTTTGATAGATATATTTTTTCTTTTCAGCAAGACAGAAGTATCAAGCCAATAACAGAGAAGTACAAACACTGCACAAAGATTTGATTACCAGAAATGAGATGCACACTGAGTGATACATCTCCCTTAAGTGATGCAGACATGCTTACGATTCAGTCTGAGTGTGAATAAGTCGGATGCACTGATCCCTGGGGTGTACATTTCTATTACAAAAACCAGTGTCTGATATACAGCTATTTCCAGTATTTACTAGGCTAAAGTACTAGACTAAGTTATATTCTATGATCTAGCTTGATGCAGACACACAGTGGTGAGGTCTAAAATGTAAAGATGGTGCAAAATTAATGCTTTCTGTAAGACCAAGTACTTCATTTTACTCAAGTATTTGTAAAAGCAGAAACTAAGAAGATTTGGGTTTAAGCATTACTCCAAGAATATGTTTATCACAATTCTTATGTGAAATGCCCTGAAGATGCTAAAAAGCTGTCTGGACAACAGGCTTTAAGTGGCCTTGCCTGAGCAGAGGGCTTGGACCAGCTGACTTCCCACCAACCTCAAGCACACTGTGATTCTATGAAAAGACAGCAGATAGCATTTACAGCAGAGTTACTTACCTTTGATCTGTTTTAGAAACACAAAGGGTTAGTTGGGTTGAACAGAATGGTGCGTGCATAAAGGCAGTCCAAACTAATTTTCTTTGCAAAAGTCAGTATTTTAGACCAAGTGCTTTCCCTCTATTTGTGTTCTGGCTTAAGAACAGCTTTTCACAACCAAAATTGCTGTTACATTGTCAGCTCACCTAAGGCCACTAAAGGGAACAGTCTTGCTATTTGTCCTTCCTTAGGTGGTTGGCACTGACAACAGGATCAAAACCTCACCTGATGGCTAAAAATCAGCCCCAGCAAACACCAAACAAAATGCCTTAGCAGCCACATCTCCAACTGAGTTGACAGTGTGGCTACATCAGTGCTGATTCTGGTGCAAAGCAGGGGTGGCAGGTGCTGCCAAGGAGCTGGCAGAGAAGAAAATGGAAACATCCTTTACAGCATCAGCATAAAGTGAAATCAGCTTAAATGCAAAGCTCTGTGGTTGGTTTGAGATGCTGTAAATTGCCTTTTCTTCTACTTCAATAAGACAATATCTGGAAGTTAGTAATTTGGTTAATCTAAAACTACACTTCAGGTTATAGAATCTGTGTGACAACATAGCACAGGTATATTAGGTGAGAGAACAAGTAACTACTCTGTTCTAAAAGGTACATTGTGTTTATATATTGGTGGCTGCTCAGATTTATTTTCAAGTAAGAGACAAAGAAAATATCTGAAGGGAATTAACATGGACCGCCAAAACATTTTCAGAAATCACTTTCTTTTTAATTAAAGATCTCAACTTTCAGTTATTGACTGTGGTTTGGAGAAATGACAAAGTGAGAATGCCAGAACCACATCCAAGCCTTGAAACTGAGGCACTACAGGTAGGCAATCAAAACCACTACATCTGTTCAATTAAAGCATGTTGGTTGAGCTGTAAGAGAAAACCTGCTGCACTCATTAAAATATTTGCCTCATCTGTACCTATGCCCCACCAATAAAGTCAGTAGGACTAGAACAGAGTAGTGAGAAAACGTCCTCAATTTTTGTTATAATTAAACAGTAACCTCACTAGATGTAACTTCACAATTCCATACACGAGTTAATTCCATTTGTATTTGAGAAGCCCTACTTATTCACAGCCCAGCTGTGTGTTGTTCCTCCAGCTAACAAACAAATTCCCACATGCTTCCACCTGGCTCTCCACACTCTGCCACTTCAGCATTTCCTTTCTCCCAGGCGAGAAAAGAGCTTCTTCTGAACAACCACATCATCGATTCAATGAAATTATTTCCTCTACTCAATGCTGTCTCGGAACCAAACTTGGGTTATTTATAAACATCAATGGCCTAAATCACCCAACCAAATTCTTACATTTCTACCATCTGATCTGCTGTGAAATGTCATTTCAGGTTACATAGACAAAAACTGTGTCTCGGACCCACAGAAATTATTTCCCCTAAACACGGAAATGCCTCCCTGGAACTTTTGGGTCACTGAACCAAAATCTATTACATGATTCAAATACATGATGTGGAAAAATAAATTTAATACCAGTGACAAACAGGATTTACTGATCCATCCTGGTCCATCAGTCTGTGAAATCAAGACAAGGCAGTTTGGAATACCTGACAGTTGGTCAGCAACTGCCTGGGATTCAGTTTCCCAGGAAAAATGAAGAGGTGGAGTTAACAGAAAAGTTAAGAGTTGAGCTTAGAAATAACTCTCACTGTTCTCTGAACTGCTGCTCAGTTGAGAACAAACTTGATTATTAAAGGTAACTGGCAAACTGTTAAACTGTTTTCCAGTTAAAGGTAACTGGAAAATACGCCACAAAAAATTATTCTGTGCTTCTGACACCCACTCTTTTCCAACATGCAAAATGTATGCAAAATGGGTTCTTTTCTGTGCTTTCCAAAATTTTTTTTATGATTCTCAGAATAATAAAACAATACTAGCTGGTATCATAGCTAACTGCTTCTTCAGTTAAAATTTCTTGTCTTCTATATAATTTCAAAGAAAAAATAATTTTCCCCCGAAGGTGCGGGCAAGCTTTACTAGCATCTCATCCATTTTTTAGACTTCACTTGTAAATCAGCAACTATCCTAGAAAGGCAAAATATTTTCCTAGTTCATGCAACACTAGCCACTGATAATTAATTTCTAAGACCTGACTAGAGATCTCAAGAAAATTGAAAAATACTGTTGAAATAGTCTTATCTAGAAATAAACATGTAAAAATACTTTTAATACCACTGAGCTTCATTATACCATACTCTACTAAGTAACAATCATGCTTTTGTGAAACAGTTTAATGCAGGCAATGTAATTAAAGCAATTATTGTGAACCTGTACTTTGCTTGAAATGTATTGCTCTTATCTCAAATCTTGAGGATTCTCTGTTTTTTTCAAGTAATGAAAACTAGTCTTTAAGCCTCACTACAAATTATAACTACATGTAAAAATCACAGAGGTATTTTTGTGAGCACTTCTCTAGTTATGGCCATGTCCAACAAATTTTTCTCTTGACAGAGCTAAGCACCTTGAGGATCACCTCAAACAGAAGTCCTAAAAGGACATGGTGTACACACAACCTCTTACACCAGCTGTTCCTCTGCCTGTATTACTTCCATGGGTCAATTTACCAACCAGGCTCTGCATAGAGACACAGTTTGACTTTTATCCAGCAGCCCAAAATTTACATCTCTAAGTAGCAGAGCACGATTCAATCTTTGCCTCCAGCTACCAGGACTCAAATTCACCTTTCCCACACCTTGGCAGATTGGTGAGCTTCCAGCCTACAGTGTGGGTACTGCCCATGATGGAGAAGTTCCTGGTTCTTGGTTCCCAAAGCTGTCCTGCTGCTGCAGTCTCAGGGTAATCAGTCTCAGGACTACACCTACAGCTGTACTGGTGAGAGCTGCAGGCAGCTCCTTTCATCTCTCTCTGTTGAAGCTTTTCTTTTTTGCATAAAAGATTTAAAGATTCAGTAGGCCTGACAGAGAGTACTAAAGAGAGCACAGCTTCTTATTCTAATTGGTAGAACACATAAGAACAGAGAGACCTGAATAGCAATACTTCCAACTACCTTAAATGTTTATCATCTCACCATTCCAAAGGAAGTAGGGGATGTGCATTTTAACTTTTTCAGTCAGAAAAAGAAATTTAATTGATATTCTACAGCCAAGACCTGTATTCTAACCCTACATTTTAGATCAAAAGGAGGCAGCCACTACTACTACCATGATTTTGAAAGAAAGGATTAAATTGTGATATGCTTTTTTAAAAAAGGATTTCCAAACTCATCTTTGCAAGACGGAGCTTTACCTACCAAGCTACAGTTTAATATTCCAATATGCATTTGTTCATTTGGGTTTGGATGCCTGATTTAGATTATTCATACTGCAGATACTGTCTGTGTAACTACTGTAATCAGACATACAACTTATCCCATAATTTATTCAAGAAGTCTAAAGGCCTAAATTAGACCTCTGGGCTTTGCAAGGCACCTAGTCACCAAACACTTCCATAGCTAAGTTCCCCTTAATCTCCTCTATTTAAATTCTAAGTAGGTTAAAC